ACCATATTAATTTGTGAATAAAATATTTATATTTTATTCACAAATTAATATGGTCGGACTCAAACCCGTACTTTAATAGTTTCGTAATTGAACCTGAACAATATGGCTCTTTAATGGACAAGATGTAAAGCAGAAAAAAATTGCAAAATATATTTATTTTTAAAAATGTGAAGCTTTTTCTTTTTTAAACAAAGGAGGGGGGGAGGGGTTCTACCATATTTTCTTCCCGCATCGGAGGAGTAAGCTGGTTCTGTCCCGAGAACATCTCTACAAGTTAAAAGTTAATTAAAGTTATTTAATGTCATCAAATGTTCGTCATAGTTACAGGTTATCACAAGACGCATTGTTTGCAAAAAGCAGAGTTCACATTTGCCGTTACAACGAGCAACGTAAATACAGCTGTCAATTTGTAAACATTGTCATTCACTGGTGTTAGCTAGGATAAAGCCATGAAAATCATAAGGTGAGTTTATATTGATTGACTTGTGTTTAGCGTGTTTTTTAATACTGTGAGTATTTGTAGAGCGTAAGTCCGGCAGTTGCTTGATTTACAATATTTAAAACTATGAACCTTGCCCAAAGTTATGCACATTAAACCGAGCTCAGTGGGGAGGGGGGAGTCATATCTGATGGATGAGCTTGCGGCATGTTTGCATGTCTATAGGCTACGTCTTGTTTTATTATTGTTTCATGTCTGCTGTCAGGCGGTGTAGAACTTTACTGCGTCGGTCCGGCTCTGCATGTCTACTCTTGTGCCGACTTTTAAGGGCGCTGATGCAGGTTGTAGGCCTACCTTACGTTAAGCGACCATCTTTACCCATTTAAGGTGTTGATTGTTAAAGATACAATATTGTCTGTGGGACCGCAGTGTTTTCCCTAAAAAACTGTGTTTATGTCTCTGCTTTGATCCGCTCTGTGTTCATGTAAATACCGTAAATACACACAGATCAAAACAGAGACACAATATTGTGTGTGGGGGTGTGTCCCGGAAAGCGACACTTGATACTGGAAAGTGGAGGATATTAATGATTGTGTTACATTTTAGCAGCGGTGCACATACCATGAATATGGGGGACATGCCGGACAGATCAAGTAAGGGTGACGATCCACCCGCTGTGAAATGAACTTATCTTCCATATTTGCCGTACACTTGTGTTTACGGAAGTTGAAATGTTACTCGGTTGTGATTGGTTGTTCCTCGTCACATGACGAGCGGTGCGCGCTGCTGCAGTGCACGTCTCCATTGAAACCAATGGAAATGAGCTCGCAACGCTGATGTGTATGGCTCCGTACAAAGTTGTAAACATTGCATTAGTATAGGCTACTGTAGCTTTTTACACTGGAGGCGCCCATCTCGGCCGAAGTCGGTTCATATTAACCTAAAGCTACATAATTAAATGGTAAATGTCGCCTTTAAGGAGCAGAACATTTTTGTTTTATTTGTGTGTGAATAATGAAATAATTTCAAATATGTTTTTCTGTGATAGGTAATTGATGTGGAGAAGATTGACCTCAGCCTTGCTTTGAACATTGTTCCAAAGGCTCTGTAGTAAATGGTGAGTATTCAAATGTTTTGCGTGATTTACTTGACTAACTTAAACTTGATCTTTAACTAATTGAAAACTGGTATTAGTCTGACAATTTCTGAATATTTATTCATAACATTTACATACTGCAAACATTGCAGGGATATACACATTTTCTGATTTATTAGGCAAAAGTTATTCAGAAAGTGAGAGGCAAAAGCCGAACATTCTGCGATAAAGCCTCCTTCACAAAAGTGATAACGTTTTGTTTGTTGAAATGGCTATAAGGGTGTTTCTTGTAGTCTTTTTTATCTCTACTAAAAAACCCGTTTTTTTGAAAAGAGGTTTTTATAAACTGAAATCCGGTAATCAAATTGCTTCCACTGCTATGAAACAAGACACTTCCCTATACTCCCTATATACGTTACATGAAGTTAAAAGTAATTTTATACATAACGACTTTTTTAGCCATATATCATTTGTCGTGCTACAAAACAACTTATTAAACTTCGCCACGTTTTACACCCAGCGCTTCAAAGTGAATTTGTTTTTCGCTTTTTCGAACCTCAGGGCTCCCTGGACTGTCAAACCTTGGTGACTATAAACTCGGTACAACTGATTTAACTTAAACACCTTAGTAAGTAAAATTTTTGACGACCCGCGCCACTCCACATTGATTTCTAGTCGCGAGTGCATTCCTGACGCACAGGTACCCACGAAGCATTTTATCAGGAGTCGGTTGGGTTTCGGGTGTTTAGCAACCTGGCAACCATTTGTTGAGTTTTTCACGACAACCGTTAACAATCAACAAGCCTATAAGTCTCGTCGTGGAACCACGACTCTCGGCAGGCAAGACCCCGTCAGACAGACTCCTCCTAACCTCTGTCGTAACGTGTTACCACGTCAACTTAACAAACACTGTGTTTTGTGTTGATGAACGGACTTAAGAACGAATAACCAAAAGTGAAAGAAAACCAAAGTAAACATCTTTTTTGTAGGATAACAAATAAAAGAAGAAAAATATAAAACGTAACGTATATTCTCTTCCAAACCGCTCGGCAGTCCCGAGAGATCCGGGAGAACTCCCGGATTTTATAAAAGTTTTTGGTTTTAATATAATTTTTTTGGTTAAAATTGGAGAATTCGTTGACTCGGACAAAAAGTTCCAAAGCCGAGGTTTTTACCGGGATGTGGTGCGTCTTTCTGATGATTAGAAGTGAAGAACGACTTTTCCCCCACCTTAATGTATTTAGAAAAAGAGAGTTCGTTCCAATATAGACACTTCAACCTACATCTCACAGTCTAAGTTAGATCTACAAAAATACAATTTCATTTAAGTCTAACCTTTGTATCATTTTTTGTACATTGTAATATTACAGGCGGATTTTTTTTTTGTAATGAATATAATCACTTTTGGTGGGAACTTACTACCACAATCATCCTATTTCCGAAATCCTTAGTAGAAGACGGACGGTCCTCACGTGTCAGTGGTTTCCTTGTCTCATCTAATTGTTTTAGTTATATATATGGGTATTGATGATTCAGGGACACAAAATTGTTCAGTAAACAGTCTAAGTCATGAATACGGAGAACAATAGACTAGTATGAGGACAGACTGGAACATTTTTTACCAAAAGTAAAAGGACATAGGCGAACAATTTAATTTTCGGGAGATCGAAAGCCACATCAGACCGAATAATTTGTTTTTTATGTATGAAATCCCCAAAAATCCGCATTATATATATATCATCAATCATATGAGTCAATCATGATACATATAAACCATATATCATATAATATATATATATACCAAAGTTATTATGTATTAAAATTGCGGTTGTTTTTTTTAGTTTCCCAGTTATATGAAGATGACTGGTGTTTTGAGAGACGTAACTCCTGTGTCCTGTTGTGGCGGTTGGTCGGGGAACTTCTTCTGTTATAGGGCCGGATTTAGCTGTAGTAGTTTGCGCATTCACTTACCCCTTTATTTCTTTTATTTTTTAGATAATAAACGAGTTACTTTACACATGTTTTGGTACTGGACAAGGCTACATATTAAAGGAATTTTACTTAGAATGAACTTCAGGTACAAACTGTATTATGTCAAGTCTGCGACCGAGATAGACAGGAGGAGAGAAGGAGTTTTTGAAAGTCTTCCCAAAAACAGTCTTTGGTGTGGAGTTCGACTCTCTCTTAGACTTAACCTCCCCGTCCCAACAAGTTAGCGCGAAAGATTGAGGCGTAAATAAGTTTTCTTTGTTTTATAGTTGTCAGTATTTGTAGTATTTAGTAAAGTAAAAGATTACTACAATACTAACATCAAACACCAACGAACGGAGTTTTTTCTACGTCTCTTTTGATCAGGTACGGTAGACAATGAAGTTCCAGATCGATAAATACATTGGAGAAATATTAGTCCCACCATTGGTTTTGAGAGTCAAATTCAACGAAGGATCGATTAAAGTTTTTACATAACTGGTCTCGTGCCTTTCCCTGGTGTAATGAAGACCAAACCGTTGAGTATCACTGCTTTTATTGAACAAAAATATAGTTTAGCGCCATGCTTGGTGGGGTCCAATCTGAGAGAGAGTGTGTTAATGTAAAAGTAAATCATGCAAAAAAGGTTTCGCTGAGGAATTTTATTCATAAGTGCACTATATGGTCTGATG